TTATTGAAAAATACATAATTGGAGGAAAAAGAATGTTGATGCAGGCTCATACTCTTTGGAGATGAAATGGTCATCTGTATTCTGGTCACCTATATTTCTTGTGATGTCATTCTGGTATTGCAGGTTCACGTTATTCTCCCAAATATGGGAACTCTGCCTTGCTTGCATYTTCTAAGATGTACCATGGGAGAAGATTTGTTTTACTAAAAAGGGATAAAATTTTCCATTATGAAGTGAATGGCTAGTCAAGTGTATAAGGCCTTTWTTTGGTAAAAAAAAAATGGCTTTCTAGATAAATTTTCCAGGTATTGACATATAAATCTGTGTAAAGAATCAGCATTTTTGCTATATACCTCCCTTGCCCTCAATATTATGACCATTTTTTGTCAAATTCTCCTGTCTCACTTTCTTCAGGGTAAACCAATGTTCATCTGGGAACACAACTCTAGCAGAAGCAAATGATTAGGCAATTGGGGTGAGTAGAAACAGAAATCTGTAAATACTCTTGCTCTGGTGGAGCATTTATTGATGGGATGACTAGTCACAGTAAAAAGCTGCGAATTTCAAGAGAGGATTTTGTTTGTTTGTGGAATAGCTAACAAAGCTGGGATGAAGGAGAGTGAGGGAAAAATGGAGCTGAAGAGAAGCTGTTGCCTAGGAAGGAGAGCATTTCAGTTCTGAAGTGGGATATTGGAAGAATCTCATTAAAGTATTGGAAGAATCTCATTAAAGTAGCAATCATAATCTGGGTAATGGCTTCTAGGAATCAATCTTGAGATTTTAAGGAAGTGGACAAGATCACCTCTGCTTCCTGCAAAATCTTGTTCTTTGCTTGGATCCTTGTTCCTCGGATTAAAACCTTTCAGTTATTTTTGAGGAAGGCAGCTTTCTCTTTCATATTTTTCCTCCTCTTTGAACTGGAAAATAGGGCTGACTGTTGTGCATCGATTATGTGAATCAGGCATTTTGTAATCAGTTAAAATCCATAAAATTTTCAACTAGTTCTCTTATATAGTATTTTTAGACAAGATAGATCTCTGGCATCACGACCTCCTCTCACTTTGTTAGATGAAAAATCTTCTAAGAARCTCTTTTCTATAAGATCTTACAGCCCCTGAGCCAACTGACATTTTATTTTGAGCCTCTCAGTCACGGTCATTCAGAAGATTTTCACGGACCATAGGAAAAAATGTCCTTAAAAGGCTGGATAAATGTATTTACTGCAGTTCAACAAATTAGTTTTCTTGTAMACATCCTGCAGTTACAATGGTTCTTGGTGCTCATTTTGCTAYTCAAGAAAGCCAATTTTTCCATTAAAAGCATTTATAATTGTTTTCCCTCCATTGTCCTAGCCACGTTATAATCATGTCATGTAACAACCTTTAAAATGTGTCTAGAAAAGCCTGCAGCTGTTCCCTCCTTGCTCTCTCTCTCTCTATTGAGTTATATTTAAGCCAGTGTCTCTGAAAACAGGCAGTAATAAAAGGGATATTATCCTCAGCAAATATCTTAATCACGGTAAATCTCTGTTGCCCTACAAATGACTGCACGGGGGATTACAGCTGAGTAAGCCATTTGCTGAATATCACTGCCACCTTTYCTGGGCCATTTAAGCATGTTTAATTTTTCAGGGTGAAACATGAAACCCACTAATACAAATGTTTGCATTTGGACTGAATTATAGCCAGCCTGTAACAGTTAGAGCAGGCTTAGGACCAGATTGTGACTGGTCTGCAGGAGGTCGGTTCTTCTTGGGAGAATGAGAGAGAAAAAGGCAGATTCGTTCCCAGTCCCAGCTCACTTATGTCACTTACGCTGCCTTGGTTCTCTTCAATATTTATATAAGAGTATTATGGGTTGAAGAACAAGTAAATATATGGATGATGCTTAGCTCCATATTTTCTTTCCATCAATCATAGCCCATACCATTGCCCAATGCCTGGAAGCCATCAGCGCCTGGATGAAAGGCAGCTGGCTTTAGTTCATCCTGGCTAAGATTGAGGTGGCAATGCTATAAAGCAGAAAATACATCCAGGGACTTGTGTCCCCTGTAACTTCACTTCCCATRTGTTTGTTTATCCAGATTTCTACCAAGTTGTCCAGAAACATTGAGAGCATCTGTTCTCCAGTTATCAAGATTAAGGGACTTTTAGGGAATCTGAAATAGTGCTGCCTACTCTATCATTTCTTTATCTTTTATTTTCTTYATTTATAAATAAATAAATATTTATCTATTCTTTATTTGTCTTTCTCTCTTGAGGACTCCCAGCAACAAAAGGTGCTTCCTAGGGCGGAATTTGGTGACCAGAAGGAGGTGGCACCTTTTTCAGGCCAAGAGCACATCACCCTTAAACTGCACTAATTCCCAAGGAGTATGATTCAGTATCCCAGTATCCAGTTCACTATCCCAGTATAATATTTCGAGCCATCTGCCTGACAACTTCCTGAAGCAGRTCTAAGAGTGAGAATTGCAAATGACAGAGGTAGAGATTTATTGTCTATTATCTCATGTCTGCAGGTCCAGCTCTTGGTAGAAGTACAAGTGATCATGAATCACAGAGTTTTCTGAGTAAAATGCAACACTCACAGGAATTAGGACCCAGTAAATTTCCCAAATGCTAAACTCTGACTTGAAGAGTTAACAGAATTATATAAAATATTCCAAGGACTTTACATGAATGCACAGAGCACGTGGATAAGCAATCAGTTATATTTGTTGATTGGAAGAAGTAGCTGATAATAAACCAAAATGGAACAGGAAATTTGGTTAGTGCCTTGTAAGAAATAAGATCTTCACAGAGGACTCAACTTGCAAGTTGCAAGCAACTTGCTCACTTCAAAACTGATCTTTTTCTAAAATTAATCAGCTATTTCATATTTCAACCACTTTAGTTTGTCACAGATATTCTCTATTCTCATGTTACAAGTTTAATATTAAGCTCTGTATAGCTTGCTCTATTCCRCTTTTGTGCCCTATTTTTTTAATTTGAATCCATATTTTTTTCTAAGCAACAAAAGTCTATTTTTTTTTCCATTTTGACCATCTATTCCTATTTGCAATTTTTGTTGTCTTTGCTGTTCCTATGATTAATAAGCATAACTTTGATTAAATGATAGTGCTTATACTCGAATAGGTTCTATTACACACTGTAAGAACTTTATTCCTGCTTCTTATCACTGTTTTAGGTGCTCAAATGGTCATAGGTGCGTTACTATAGATATTCCTCAGGGTTATGTGATCTTCAAACAGTTTCCTCCACGAATGAGTTCGTTCTTAACTCTGTCTTTATCTATTGAGAATTAATGAGAAACTTTTAAATCAAATTAAAAGTTTGGGAGGGTGAGAAATTCTACTTTTAGTGGGGAAAAAAACACCCTGGGACCCAAAGATTTTTGAAGAGGGCTAAAGAGGGAGAAGAGGAGTCTTCATACCTCAAGTATTCTATGATTTTACTTTGGTGGAAGATTTTCAACAAAAAAAAATGTCTCTTGAGCCTGTAGTTATAGTACAATGAAAAAAAATTCAAATATGTTGTAGCTGCCGTGAAATAAAGATTTCAGCAATAAATACCAAATACTTTTTGCTAGTGTTCACTGATACTGAGGGATTTGATACATATAGACTTTGCAGAATTTCTCAGATTTTGTGTATTGGTGATAGCAGACATAAGGCACCAATGACATGGAGAGACAAATGTCATGTCTGTGCTAGTAGGTTATGCAGGACTGGGGGCATCCCCTGGCACTGCCAGATGATTATYCACATATTTAGCCATTAGTGGGGTCTGGTAGTTTTGACTTGGGACACCCAGCAGTATTTGGACTGTCCAAACATGGACTGACCCTGTTTGGGAGGTTACTTTGGGTGGGGAATCTACTCCCCTTAAGTGTAGATGCATCAGCGAGCAGAGAGGAAGAAGAAAAAGGTTTCGCTGTGTGAATGCAAGCTGAGCCAGGCCAATTGCCACTGAGACTAGAAAGCAATTTTTGGCCCATAGTAGTTACATCTTTAGCAGTGAATAACATGATCCAATGGAATGTTGCTCTGCAGAGACTGGGGATGTTGAGGTTGTATCCCTGGCGCTGCTCTGTGTTGGCTGGGGTGGTTGTAGACAAGTCAGTTCAGTTTTCTTGGTCTCTTTCATGCACATATTTAATCAACTTGTTATTTAGATTCAGCTCTCCCAAATGGAGTTTATCTTCTGTAGTGTGTTGGTAGACATAAATGGAGAGGACCTTTTCTAAGCTGGAGCCTCTAGGGGTTCCCATAATACAAACAATAATAGTGAAGAGAAGAAATGACATGTGATTGCTTGGGAAATAATTGTCTAGTCTCTTTGACAGATGTGAACTGAGAGACTGTTCCATTTGCATCAGCCAYACAAAAGCATGGCTATATATATATATTGTGTTCTTATCCATTGCACTTGAAAGCAGTTTTGCAGAACTATATGTGCAATGGATAAAGCAATTCCCATCATTAACAAAATTAGTACAGCTCCTTCTGGATCTGTCAAAGGAGATGTCCTTGTGAAAAAAAAAAAGAAAAAACATAATTTTGTTCACTTTTCAACTGTTGTGAAGTAGAATAAACACTTAGCACATGAAGGGCTGATCTCTGTAGGAAGAACATACCTAAAGATGGGCCTTAGTCTTCACCTGCCTTTCTAAAATAACCATGGGGAAATCACTCAATTGCCATGCTTTACTTGTATGCAAAATGAAATTRTTGACTATTTATGGATCTCTTGTGTGCTTGATTAAAAAAAAGGAATCATTAAAATGTGCTGATAATGCTATAAAAGTAATATGTAATGCAAATGATCACTGCTCTTCTAGCAAATGCAGATTCTGCTGGCAACTGATGTGCACATCTGGGCATATGCCAAGAATTATTGGTGCTGCTGACAAACTCACACCATGAGTTGGTGATAAYGCTCCTTTCACACTAGGGGCCCAGCTCTGGATCAGTGAATCATTAAGTGTTTGTTTCCTTCCAGATGAGTACAAGAGTAAAGCAGCCTGTGAAGATGACAAGCTGAGGCTAAGCTGTAAGAAGAGCATGGTGATAGCCATTTACTCTGCTGTCTTTGGAAGGACACAAGGAGGCAGCCTGGAGTGCCCATACCAAAGCCTGGGGATGCCCATGATTGGTAAGCAGGGGGATGTCTTGACAGAGCACACTGATTTGGATGGGGTAATTTCATTTATTGTCATCGTGGCACGAAACATGGAAAGCAGAACTTGGCACATGTAACCTGCTACTGTTATGCAGCTAATGTGTGGCACCTTGTTACCCAATAGTGATCTGCATCACGAGCTCTGAACTCCYGAGATTCACATACACACCCTAGCCCAGCTACTGACCCACATAATTTTGGCAGATTAATCACACTAAATGCTTGAGACTATTTCCTGTGTTTCTTGGTCAATTTTCTTTCCTCCTGGTATTTCATCCCTACCTCATGGAAGAGTGTATTATCAACAGGTGTTATAGAACACTTATGATAAAGTAAAGCAAGAGATTATATTTAAATTTTAATAGAAGTTAAAACAATGAGCAAAAATTCTCAAAACAAGCTACTAAGTTGCATCATGTTGGTTTACAGTACTTCAAGTTGCTTCTTTTTTTCTAGGCTATCACAGTCTTGTATGTTTGTGTCTTAAAGATCCATAAATTTAAAAAGATTCTCTACAGCAGTCTGTTCTCAAGCCAAACTCAAGCATGAGTTTGAGTATTTTGAACTGTGTCAGATGTCCACAGTGCAAAATCCTGTGGTCAGCATTCCTGTAGTCTCTGTAGAGGTGAGAGGGGATGGAGCAGTTTCCCCAAAGGAATCCCTTCTAAAGTGGGGGAAGTTTCCAGACGGCTGTAAAAGGAATCCTRGTGTCTATTCTGTATCTGTATTCCAGCTGTATATGGAGATGTTTGTCTTCAAACTGATCCAGCGCTCTTAAGGAATTAGTATGCTGTTCAGATGGAGACATGTGAAGTGACTGCTTGGAAATATGATATGCACATGATGGGTGTCAGTGGGAAACCACAGGTGGAATTAGGCCAGCCAGGTTGCTTGTGCAGCATGCTGGGTGCAGAGCTATATTGCTGCAAGAATCTGTACACTTGCAGCATAGCTGAGTAGTTCAGACTCCTACCCAGTCTCACGGTTCAGATGTTTGTCAGGAGAGTCATGCTCCCTAAAAATGTTTTCTCCTGTCTTCTGAGGTGAGTCATTTGTGCCTGGATTTGCTGTAAGTCTTCTCAGCTGCCAGAGAACAGATGTTAAAGTAGATATGCTTGACAAGTTGGCTTAGGCCTTTTTTATGTGGCATGTGGGATGGGCTGAGAGTGTGGACACTGCTGGCTATAGTGGTTTGACTACCAGTTGGTGACTTAGACTACAAGGTATTGACTTAGTGAGTTGGTGAAGTTTGATGGGCTGGAAGCATGTTCCCAAGCAGAGAGCTTCTCTGTCCTTGATGAGAGTACAGCAATAGGCATTTACAGGTGACAAAGTACTGGTGTTGGGATTTGCTTTCTGAGGGTACACATGAAGCAAAACTCTTCCATTTGAATGAAAGCTGCAAAGGGTTAAATTCTGCTCTTTTACGTGCTGAGCAGCAAAGTCTTGAAACTTAGACCAACTGAGAGCCACATATGTGGAACTAGGGAAGGAAGGCAATGGGATTGCAAGAGCAAAGCTATAGCTAAGAGAACAAGCTGTGAGGTATGACAGCAAGACTGATGTGCTTGGATGCCTGAGTGCTTCAAAGTGGCCTTGTGAGGTCTCTAAATTGAGAGGTTTGTCCAAGGAAATAAGGAATTTGATTCTAGAGTGTRGCAAACACACTGCTGGAAGGAGGCAGGCCAGCTCTTAGTCACGAGTCACAAGAGAGGTTTGATACAGAATACAGTAAGACCAAGCTAACAGTGGGAATGTCTAGGTAGCTTTACACTGAAATCTAGGGTAGAATTCTAGGCTGTGGACTGAGGCTAAAAGCAATTGACTTGTTGGATAGCAACTTTGTGTGAGATGACCTGATGGTACTGTGTGCTTAAGATGTAATTAGGACWGGGGGGTTGGTAGCTGTGGTTATCACTTGGATGTTGGCTCTGAGAGAGAGGAACTAAGACAGACCCCATCCGCAACACAAATCAGAGAAAAAGCATATATTTACTGTGCTGAGGTGGGGGTGTCGTGCTCCGTATTGCCACTCGTAATCGTGGGAGTGGTGTGCRGAGCTCCCTGAACCTTTTTCAGAAAACGTATTCCTGCCATGGACCTGCCTAGTCCAGGAGGCAACTGCGTTCCTTCAGGAGTAGGTGAAAACATCACGGCTTGAAAAAGCCTTCTGTAGCTAGAGAACATTTCTCTGCAGGTTTCCACTGCCATGCAATATGCTGAGGGCCATCCTGTGACAGCTTTTGATCCTGAACATTAGCAGTGACCTGATCTAGCACATCTAACTGTATGACTGAGACTCCATGTCAGCATCCCGTTCCCGTAAAGCCGAATCCAACTCCTTTTTGCACTGGAGGATTTATTCTGTTTGAGCTTTGTGGGACTGATGATTTGTAGCAAGTCTAAGCCTTGGCTAAAGACTTTTTGGTGGGAAGTAGACCCTGGACAAGTTTGCAGTGATTATTTTAACTTGATCAGCATGAGATACTGTTGAGTGAATAATCCCTCACAGTTATTCCCAAAGATGTGTGTCTGTTCTTCCTCTCAAAATGAAGAGAAGTTCATAAAATTTTGTTCTTTTTCTGAACAAAATACACATTTATGTTGCATTTAGAAACCTACAGCTTCTACGTATGAGACTTTTATAGAACTGAGGCATAAGAAGAGGAGGAGGGATGGCACAGTAGAGCATTGCATTCATTTCCAGCTCTGCCACAAAGTGAGCAGAGAATCATTTACTGTGAGTTGCTCCTGTTTTGTAACATTTGCAGCCCTTTAACACCTGCCTGCATAAGCTTGTGACTAGTGCAGGATCTCTAAGTAAGCCTTCCTACACCATGCCATGCCAAATGTGTGTTTTCTCCCTAATGTCTGTATTAATGTGCTTAGCTTCTGAGAAGGAAAAGTTGTTGGGGGATCTGTGTCTTTTCCTTGTTATATTAAAATAAGAAAAATCTGCCAGGATTCCCTTTTAACCAGAAACATGCTGAAACTTGTGTCTCTGATTGTAATGGGAAACCCCCTGCAAACAGCTGGACCCTCCTTGAAAGCCTTGGAAACTCTGGAAAGCTCCTATAGGAATTTGACCTTATTTGTAACTCTCTTAATAAAGCTTCCACTTTGCTGCTAGCATTGGCAGAGACAATACACAGAGCATAGGGAGGTCTCTGGGGAAACACTTATTTGCAAGCAAAAAAGCATTAAGATCCYTTAGCCCAGCGAGTCCTTTGCCTCTTTATCATGCTGTTCACAGCTGCATCTCTTTGAGTGACTTGTTTATAGTGGGAAGCCAAGTTAAATGTGACCTTTTTTTAAAACTTGTGACCAAGTGCAAGTTAATGATCTAATTAGGGGGCTGAGGAGGAGAAGGAGCTTGGATGTTAAACAATTATCTTTTTATCATTTAGTAGAGCAACATCCTTGATCACATTCAGTGCTCTTGACATGTTCACATGTGTATTTGTACAGCAGCTATTGCTGCCCAAAGGGAATGAGATGGACATGTTCTACTCACCTCTAATGTGTGGATCTGGGTCTCCTTCTCAAGGACTGTGTCTYTCTCCATCAAGTATATGGAGAACCCAAAGCAAATTCACTCCTCGTCTGGTTGAAGGGTTGGGGCCTTGGAGTCAAAGTCAACACAAGATCTTGGGAACTCTAGCTCCAAAGCTGAGGTTAAGGTCATATAGTGTGTGGCCAGAGCTGAGTAATTTTTTGAGAAGTGAAATGCCCTTGCTACCTAACATAAAAGTTCTCTCCTGTATCTATAAAGAGAGAAAATGGTAGTGTTCAAAGAGACCCAAGGCAATGCAGGTCAGTGTTTCTGTCCAGCTTCTTGGATCTGATAATATAAGCGCAGAGAATCGAGTTCAGCAAAGGTTGCCTATGCTTTAGATGCTTCAGATTCCCGGGTATTTGCCATTTGGAGGCAGGGCCAGAAAGTCAGTTTGTATTGATTTCCCCCTCTTATTGCAATGACTTGAACCAGAAGCTTCCCAGTCTATCAATAAATATCTGTTTAACTACATAAATAATAGACTCTTACAGTCTTTTTACCTGTGACCAGATCTAGTGTATGAATAAATATGAAATACAGGCAAAAAAAGAAAAAAGAAAAAATTTAGGCCATAAATGTGAGTTACTCTTCCCACYGACAGAAAATGAGTTTGAAGAGATTACTGCCCCTCTGTCCACATGTTCTTGTCTCCCCTCCTCCATCTACGAAACCTTGCCACTCTGTGTTTCTATTAGCACAAGTTGSTGGCTATGGAGTGTTTGGAGATGCTCTTTGTCTACAGCCTGATTTCACCATTCTGCTGCAATGCTCGGTCTGTGAGATGAGCAGCGTTCAGCAACGTGAGTCAGATTGCAACTTTCTTTTTTAACATGCCCGTCGGGCTTCCAGGGTGCACTTCCCTCTAGGTGTGATGCTCTCTGCCCAAGTTTGATTTATATTCAGTGCAGAAATTACCTTGTTATGTGTAATACTGATGATTAAGAACATGTTTTTAGAGGTTGAGCTGTGTATATGTAATAAAACCCAGAACTATCCAGGTTTGAAAGCTAAATAAATAGCAGTTGCTGTTTAATTCACATGTAATACCTTATTAAATCTAAATTGAAATGAAAATCCCATTTAGAAGTCTATAAGTCAGAGTAGGACAAAGCCTGCTTTCAGAAAGTTGTTTTCAAGTTCTAGATGGTTAGCCTGTTTCACTTCTTGTTTCAAAACACCAGGAGGCAATTAAAATCACTTTACAGCTCTGTTTCTAAAAAAACTCAAACCATTGTTGGAATCCATAGAGCCATAAAAATGATTTATATAAAATTGTAGGGTTTCATGTGCACACAATTGATTTTTTTTAATGATAAAAATCCATTCAAATTTGTTTCTGGACAAGATCTTTTTCAAAGCCAAGATTTAACTGGCTTTAAAAAATAGAAAGTTTACAGTAGAGTATAACTCCTCCTGA